ACGCAAGTTCTAATGAATTGCTGTTGGCTCAAGAATGTAGCACAAGCTGGAAGCAAGGTTGACTCAAGTTGAATGTGTCACACAGCTCCTATCATCTCAACCTAGCTTTTGTTCTAAAAAAACTAAACACTTATGAAGAAAACTGTTGAAGTTGTTGACTGTAGTATGATGGTGGATTCTATGGGATTTCACCTTTCCACAAATTAGCATTATATGTTAGAAATATTGGGCTAGATTAATCCCTGTACTGGTTTCTGAGGTGGCTTGCACCTCTTCCATTCAGGGATTTGTGGAGGCCAGTGCAAGCTTGTGCCTCTATTGTAATGGCTCCTATGAACATGCCTCCCTGTCTGTCCCCACCCTGCTCTGGAATGTTCCCTGAGCTTGTTATTCCTGAATAGGTGGCATACAAACCCCCTTGCCCCTGCACTACTGTCATGGATCCTTGGCACCAGCCCAGCTGCCACAAAGGAGCCATAGGGCAATGAGTAATTGGGCCAATTGTTGAGACAGCACTGGATGGCAGAAGGAATGGTAATAAGATAAAGCCTTTTGCCTCTATAGGGTGTTCAGATCCATCCCAAGTAAGTCACAGTTGTGACCACAAGTAACAATCATTTGACTGTTCAGTGGTTTTAGTCTAGTTCCAAATGGATAAGTGTCCACATAATCAAACCCCCCTACCATCATGATTGGCACCCTTGTTAGTAAGCTGAGCAGAGAGCGGGATGGTTATGGTGACTCTTTCACTAATAGGTCAGGGCTGATATACCTATTGGTGTGGGGAATGTTGCCCTGCTGCTGCTAGTTCATTACTTGCTCTATGAATAAACACAGAAAGAGATTATTTCTTTGAATTCTTGGGAGGTACTGAAATACTGCTGGGCTGGTTATCCTAGACAGAGAGGATTTCAGTCTTCACATCTAAATGTCCAGCACCCTTCGTAATCAATATCACTCATTCAAAAATATTTCTAAAGAATCATTCATTATCTGGAAGTATGTGTTGTGATGTGACAGGATATAGACCGTACAAAAATGAGGGCAAACACCAGCGAATAAGACTGAGACCCTATCATGGAGTATATATGTGTATCCAATAGGCACGCATCTATATTTCTGGAGAAACTTTCCTGACAGGTAGAAGAGCCACAGTTGGAAACTCTTACTGAGGGATACAGCAATTACCTGCCAACAAGTGAACCAATTAAAGAGCTATGAAGGATGTGTGGTGTAGAAAGCCTGAAGCTATCAAGTTAACTGCTCAAGGTCAGATTATAGTTTGGAATACTAACCCTAACCCTCTCCCCCCTGTTTTAGCAGGTGCTACTCTGAAGTAACAGTCATTCACATTCAATCCTATGTAAGTTGTTACGAGTTTAACCCATCCAGAAACCCTATTATAGCGAGTGATTCCTGGAGCCCCATGGAATTTAGATACAATGTGCACCCCCCCCCCCAAAAGGCAGCTTGCTGCACCATCTAGTGGATGAAAAGGGACTTTATGAATTTCTTTAGTTTTTCATCAAGAATTTTTAACAAATTGTTTTAAAATTATTTCATTACCTAGTTTACTAATATTTTAAACAGTAAAAGTTAATTAGTTTTGAAAATGTAGTTTACATTTCACTTATTCTTGTCCATTCTCCTAGTTTTAGGGTGACCAGATGTCCCAATTTTATAGGGACAATCCTGATATTGGAGGCTTTTTCTTATATAGAAGCCTATTACCCCCGTCCTGACTTTTCACGCTTGCTGTCTGGTCACCCTACCCAGTTTGGACAACAGAAAAGGGTCTCGTGAGTTTCAATGTAGGTTTTCTAGCCAGTGAGGGGGGTTTCGCTTCAGCAGGGAGTTGAAAGTTGCCGCTAGTGGCCCGCTCTCTGTCCCGTCTGAAAGGCGGGGCTGACGGCGCTGTGCTTACGCTGGGCCCGAGCTTGCCAGGCTTAGTCACACTATTCGCTTATTTACAGAACAGAGCTTGAATTTCAACGAGAGCACTTGCAGCGTCAGGTCTGAACCATGAGAAAAGGTGGCACGACGAGCCCCTTACAAAGGGAGCAGAGCGGAGCGGCCCCTCCTCTTCGCCACGAACGGGTGGGTGGAAGATGAACCCCCCCTCAGCTAGGTGCACAGAGGCAGGGCCTGCTCCGGACAGCGATTCCCCCCCGTGAATGGTACCGCCCACTCTCAGGCGACGGCAGGGAGTAAAGAGAGTGGGTTACAGTTCTCGCGAGAAATAAACTAGGACGTGGAGACCGTAGTTGTTGGTTGGCATGGAAACGGCGTTCCCGGACGTACTGTGCACGGGAGCGCAGCGAGGCTGGGAAAGGGGCTCGGTGCGCCAGCCGGCACAGGGAGGGTAGCGGAGCGGGGCACGCGCGACCCCGCGCTGAGTCCGTTGTTGCAGCGCCTGGCTGCGCTCCCGCAGGGTGAGTGTAGGGGCGGAGCTGGGTGGAGTCGGGGTCACACACGCTGTGGGCTCTGGTCTGTTGCCCTCCATAGGGCTGGGAGCTGAGGGTCTGTTGGAGGGGAGGGCAGGGCTGCTGGAACAATTTTTATAGTGGGGGCTCTGAGTGCCATTGAACCAAACTGTAAATCCTGTTTCTGATGGAAACCACATCGAGTCGGGGGTGCAGTAGCACCCCTAGTTCTTGCACCTGTGGATGAGGGGAGCGGGGGGCTCCTCCCCAGAGCCTCGCCCTCGCTGCATCCCCTGTAATGGGCAGCACAGGAAGACGACATACAGGGCATTCTCCAGAGGGGAGCTAACCAGGGCCATGCATCCCACTGGTTGCCCCAGAGCAGGAGCTCCATGCTGCTGGGCCCGAGAAGTGTATTCTGCTGCCTGGGTTTGCACTGTTCCAAATGCACCCACACACAGTGTGGCAGAGCACTGAAGGGGGCCATGTGCCAAGCGTTGTCTGGCAGCAGCACCCGCCACTAATCTTGAGGGAAGCACGCCTGGCGGCCCAGGTATTTGCATCCTGCTGTCTCAAGGAAGAGACTTCTTGGGTGTAGTTTATTCCTTGTACATGATGGAATAACCAGTGTGCAAGAAGTGCTTCAGCTATGTGATTGGCAATGTCTGATTACATCTGTTGCTGTTGGCTGTTTTGTAGCTGTGTTGGTCCCGGATGTGAGAGTGACCAGGTGGGTCAGATAATATCTTTTATTGGACCAGCTTCTGGTGGTGAAAGAGACATGCTTTTGAGGTACATGGATATCTTCTTTAGGTCTGGGAAAGGTGATCTTTTAAAAAATCATTTTTAAAAGAGTATCTTTCCCACACCTGAAGAAGAGCACCTTGTAGCTCAAGAGCTGGTCTCTTTCATCACCAGAAGCTAGTCCAATAAAATATATTGCCTCATCTGTATTTTCTCTCTTACATCTGTTATTAGCATATCTTTCAGCAACCCAAAGAAATATCTAAAATAGACTCAAATATCTTGTCATGTGGCTTATGCTCTCACTTTGGATTAATTGCTTGCACCTAGCCATATAGGGAATTTCAGTCCTTTTCTTTCCATGCTTCTTGAAAAGAAACAATTTTGAATTAATTGAAAACTTTGGCAAAAGTATCTATGAAGCTTAGTTTTAAAAGTTTTCATTTTGGTTTTTGTGGGGCTTTTTTTCCTTTTTCCTTTTCTTTTTTTAATGCTCTTTCTTCTTTTTTTGCTAAGTCCCACCCTTGTTTCCATTTAGTAACTGAGAAAGGGAGGAAAGAAACTGAAAAATATAAGACAAAATTTTTGTTTTAGTGAAAAAACAATTTCTGATGGCCCAAAATGCTCCTTGACTAAGTTTGAGAATTTTTGACCACCTCAGAAAACTAGATATAAAGAGAAATAAAATGTAAATATATTTTTCAAGTTAACTATTTTAGGAAAATATATCTGAAAGAACACAACAGGAAGAAATTATATGTGTGAGAAGTTGCAGAAGTTTATGACGTACTTCTCACCTTTCTGTCTCCCAGGCTCACTACTTCAGTGTTAAATTTGACTTTTCTCTTTTTTCCTCTGTCCATTCTCTTGCTAAGTCTTATTTCTTACTCTTTAATCAGAGTTTCTTCTATTTGATATCCCCATTGATTAAACTCCTTGTTTTTGCAATAGTCAAGTCTCGTGTGGATTTACTTTCCATATGCTTTACGAGGCTCATCATTTATCTCAGGCATTTGGGGAGGACAGTGTCTGAAGGTTTGGGAAGATTTATCTGGGCTTGGAGTGTGTGTCATTGCTCATCCTTCCATAAATAAATAAGATCAACCTACCATGTAACTATGTAATTGTATGAAATGTTTTAATATGAATGTACATTTAAAGTGTTGCAGCCGAAATATAGGATGTGGAGCCAATTGATTGAATGATTAAAAGCTTTGCAAATCAGAATAAATAAGTACTGTAAATTTCTCCTTTCTGTCATACCTGCCTCTTTTCTGTGTTTGTAAAATGCTGTGTAAATGTAATGTTCTGTATATATGATTTTAAATAATAATAATATTGTGGTATGCCTTACACTGAAGTGAAAGTCATATTGCTCACTGCTATTTGACTGTAGCATACATTTCACATCATTTACTGGGATGTATTCTATATGTCCACTAAATACTCCAACCTTGCTGTTTTCTTTTGTTTGATGCTATCTTTGTTGAGCCAAGATTTAAAATGGTCTGTTTCGCTATTTCTTCTTGGTGAGAACATTTTTAGGGATTGAACACGCTGTTCAGATACACTTATAGTGCCTGCCTCCAACCTACTTAATTTTTGGCTGGGTCTGGGACCCTATATAACTCATATACCTAACTTTGTTTTGCACTTTTCTTAAACGTATGTGTATTGTATACATTGTTTATAAAGGTTGTATAATTTGTTAGGGGTAGGACTTGTAGTTTTGTTTAATTTGTTGCCTAAGCCTTTTGGGGTTTTTTGTTTAATAAATAAGCTATTGATATGTGGTAGCATTTGTTGTTCTCTGTCTGTCCATTTTAGATCACAATGGATATTACAAGGGGAAACTTGGATGAAATTTCAAGGCCTGCATCTAGCTCAAGAGCACATCCTGTAAGCAGAGCTTTAAGTGCATCTTTGGAGGTTCTAACACCAGACCCATGCTTGTCAAAGGTATGAGCTTTGGCATGTCACAACTTCCAGGTGTCTTATTTTTCCCTATCTATAAAATGAAAAGAATAAACCTTTGTAAAATATTTATAACGTGCTTTATGGATGGAAAACTGATATGTAAATGCTAGTCAGTATTATCATAGAAAGAAAGTAACTTAAAATGCAGTTCTAGTTTCAAGAGTGAGTGTGTGCACACAGGTCAGCTCTTTGTATGTATTTAGAGTAATATTTGCTTGCTTTAATGACTTACATAAATCTGTACTACTTTTCCCCTCTATTAGCCTAGATCATATTCTGTTTTATGTACCACTAGTCAAATTGTTAACTAAATTCTTCCCTCAATTAAACCTTTGTTACCCCATTGATAACAGGAGGGTTGCCCAGATGTAACTTGGGACAGAGTTTGTAATGGTTCGTGGGGTACCCAGGACTGTGAATCACCTTGTTAAAACCTCCCTTCTGCCTCCAGTGTGAGGGAGACTTTCTTGTGTTTAATTGTATATTAGCTCCTTGACACCACCAGTCTGTTAGCTGCCCAAACAAAGTCCACTAGGCTAGGCCATGTCAGCTCTTACTTTGCCTTGCAGATTATGAATAGGTGCACCCCAGTCCCTGAGCCTCTTTTCAGCATTCCCCTGTAGTGTCCAGCCTCTTATCATAGAATATCAGGGTTGGAAGGGACCTCAGGAGGTCATCTAGTCCAACCCCCTGCTCAAAGCAGGACCAATTCCCAACTAAATCATCCCAGCCAGGGCTTTGTCACGCCGGGCCTTAAAAACCTCCAAGGAAGGAGACTCCACCACCTCCTTAGGTAACGCATTCCAGTGCTTCACCACCCTCCTAGTGAAATAGTGTTTCCTAATATCCAACCAAGACCTCCCCCACTGCAACTTGAGACCATTGCTCCTTGTTCTGTCATCTGCCACCATTGAGAACAGCTGAGTTCCATCCTCTTTGGAACCCCCCTTCAGGTAGTTGAAGGCTGCTATTAAATCCCACCTCATTCTTCTCTTCTGGAGACTAAACAATCCCAGTTCCCTCAGCCTCTCCTCATAAGTCATGCGCTCCAGACCCCTAATCATTTTTGTTGCCCTCCACTGGACTCTTTCCAATTTTTCCACATCCTTCTTGTAGTGTGGGGTCCAAAACTGGACACAGTACTCCAGATGAGGCCTCACCAATGTCGAATAAAGGGGAACGATCACGTCCCTCGATCTGCTGGCAATGCCCCTACTTATACAGCCCAAAATGCCGTTAGCCTTCTTGGCAACAAGAGCACACTGTTGACTCATATCCAGCTTCTCATCCACTGTGACCCCTAGGTCCTTTTCTGCAGAACTGCTACCTAGCCATTCGGTCCCTAGTCTGTAGCTCTGCATGGGATTCTTCCGTCCTAGGTGCAAGATTCTGCACTTGTCCTTGTTGAACCTCATCAGGTTTCTTTTGGCCCAATCCTCTAATTTGTCTAGGTCCCTCTGTATCCGATCCCTACCCTCTAGGTATCTACCACACCTCCTAGTTTAGTGTCATCGGCAAACTTGCTGAGAGTGCAGTCCACACCATCCTCCAGATCATTAATAAAGATATTAAACAAAACCGGCCCCAGGACCGACCCTTGGGGCACTCTGCTTGAAACTGGCTGCCAACTAGACATGGAGCCATTGATCACTACCCGTTGAGCCCAACGATCTAGCCAGCTTTCTATCCACCTTACAGTCCATTCTTCCAGCCCATACTTCTTTAACTTGGCAGCAAGAATACTGTGGGAGACTGTATCAAAAGCTTTGCTAAAGTCAAGGAATAACACATCCACTGCTTTCCCCTCATCCACTGAGATAGGCACTCATGGTTGTGAGACATGAGTCTCTTATCCGCTAAACACTCACAGAAATATCAGGTCTGCTGGCCCCAGGGAACAGTGTACACACCATCTTGAATGATTCAACTCAGGATCATCTTTGTGTATGGTATCACAGCACTGAGATATATTTTTAGTGAAAACGACGATACATTTATTATCAAAGATTTGAGATTCAGGCAATAGTAAAAATAATGGAAACAAAGGGAATGTATAAAACAAAATCATAACATGATTTCTAAAGACTAAACTTAATAGACTAACCTTCTGTCTATAGACGTTTATTTCACCCTAAATGTCGTTTGCAGCATTTCAGCCAAGGTTAGTTGTGATCCTGTTTTCCAGAATGTAATTGCACTGCCTGATTACTTCCTAAGTGGAGGATAAAGGGATGTCTTCCTTACCTTCTCCTTCTATCCCCCAAAGTTCATAGCCTGTACCCAGAGTTTATTCTCCAGTGTGCTGCCTTCCTGTTGATTTCACATCCCTCCACCTGTTGACTTTGTATGGAAATGTGGCTTCCATTGTGTCGACTTACAATGCTCAGTTTACATGCTGACAGAGAGAAGAATAAACATCTTTCCTTTGGCAAACAGAAAACTTGTTTGTCAGCTCTGCTTTTGATACAGGCTATCACTCTGTCTGAAGTGTCTCACAACTATGAGTGCCTATCTCAGTACAGGGTGTCAGAAACTGGGAAGACACTCCAAACTGATGGTATGTTCTATAATTAGATTTCACCAACCCAGTAACAAATATGAACTCCTGGATCATTATAACAGTCTTACTGTGAAGTCACAGACAGTCCCCTTAGGCTCTCCAGTCTATCTTGCTACCAAAGCAGGCTGGACTTAGTGATTAAGTGATCGCTCTCACCAAAAATCACACAATATTCAGGTTGCTTCCAGTCCCCAAGAGACCAGTAATTTACCTTAGATCAATTGGTACCCTAGATCTTACACCAAAGACACTGCCTGTAGTTCATGACAGGATTGGCTATCTACAGGCTTATTATCTTGGAAAAAGGCTTGAGTTATTTACAGGTTAAAGCAAGCTAACATGCACACTAATGAGTTGCAGTTTAAAACCTAAGAGTCACAGAGTTGTAGTGATCTGTCAATTCAAAACGTCTTTCAGAGCAAACCCAAGGATAATCTCTTACTTCAGTTTAAATTCTCTGGCCCTGTAAGAGTTCAAACAGCAAAGAGACGAAAAATTCTCTCGTGACCCTGTTTTCTTTTACAGTTAGGCCTACACGACAGAGTTAGGCTGTCTTACGTCGACATAACCATGTTAGTGTCTTCACTAAAATTTTGCTCCTGCTGCTGTAACTTACTTGCTATGCCAACTTAACTCCACCTCCATAAGTGACGTAGAGTTTAGATTGACATAGACTGTTAGTGGCCTCCAGGAGGTGTCCCATGATGCCCCACCTTGACCACTCTGGTCACCGTTGTGAATTCTGCTGCCCAGTGTCCAGGTACACAGGAAGTTGCCTCTCCCCTTTAAAGCCCCGTGAATTTTTGAAATGGCATTCCACGTTTGCTCAGCTTGGAGAGCTCACATAGCAACTCTCAAGCATATCTGACAACTTCCTAGCTGATCTTGCTGGTTCCATGCTGCAGATGTGCTCCTGCCTGGAGTACACAAGAAATGTTTGATCTCCTGAGTCTGTGGGGAGAAGAGGCTGTGCAGGCACAGCTCCAATCCAGCCATAGAAATGTCAACATCTATGAGCAGATTGCTTGGGTCATGGAGGAGGAGGGCTATAAGAGGGAGCAGCAGCATGAAAGCCAAGGAGATGCAGCTGGCAAACCAGAAGGCAAGGGAGGTTAATAATTGCTCTGGTGCGGAGCCATTGACCTGCTGCTTTTACACAGAGCTGCATACCATCCTTGAACGAGACCCCACCACCACCCAAAAGAGTCTCATGGATAGTTAGAAAGTGTTACAGGCCCCCACTGTGAACAGCGAAGAGCAGAAGGAATATGGGGAACAGGCGACCGATGAATCCAGCTGTGCAGCAAGCCAGGACATGTTTTTGAATCCTGCGCAGTCCAGCCAGTCCTTACAGTCCAGGACAGGCAAGCATGATGCAGGGAAAGGAACCTTTGGTAAGTATGCAGTTTGCTTTGATATTGCAGGGATGGAACCCACAAAGTACCAAGACATAGATGTTGATTTACTCTTTTTTTTCTTATGCTAGATGAGGTAGTGAAACAACCAATAGAGGTAGAGTTGCCATCTGCTTTTCATTCCCCTGTGGAGTTCAGCAGAGGGAGCCCTATAGAACAGTTTGTTTATGTGCACCAGGACGTCCTATGAATCCTCCAGAGATCTCAAGGAAACTTTCCTGGAGGTAGTCTGCAATTCTCTGCTGAAGTTTTCTGGGAGGGCTGCCTGATTTCTTCCACTGCAATAGGCTGCTTTCCCATGCCACTTAGCGATTACATCCTCAGACATCATTGCAGCACACAGCCTAGCAGTATATGGCCCCAGTCGGCAGTTGCACGCCTGCAGGCCCTGTTCCCTTTCAGCCTCCGTTACCCTCAGGAGTGAGATATCAGCGAAAATCATGACCGCCTGTGGAAATCGGTGCCAGTATTCAGTTCAGTTGCCCAATATGCATGTAATCATGGCCGTGAGCTATGCCCCCTTATTTCCCTAACTCGCCCCTTTCCCCCAGGGCCATGCTCACCATAGCTGGGACGGTCACCATGATCTATCAGTCCCAAAGAGAAGTGATTTAGTGCTCGCAACTTGTGTGGCTCAAGGGCAGTGAGTTCTGTATAGCAGGTTTCCATTTATCTTGTGAATACACTCACAATTGCACCTATGTGCATTGTATCTTTTGCAGCTGGAAATGTGGCCTTGAGGCTCTTTCCATCCACACCAGTGGAGCAGCTCAGCCAGATAGGGAGGAGAACAAAGAGGACATGGGATGACATGTTCCAAGAGATCCTGTAAGCCTCTGCTGCTTTGGCTACTGAGCACTGGGCTTGGAGAATCACCCCCGCAGACAGCATGACCAGGGATAGAGCAGAGAGGAGAAAGATGTGGGAAATGGACAGGGAAGCGCAGCAGGAGATGCTAGCGCTTCTCCAGCAGCAAACAGACATGCTGCAAACTCTTGTTGACCATCAGGTTCAACAGTATCATGCTCACCTTCCTCTGCAGCCCATAGAAAACGATATTCTGGGACTTCCTTACACACACACACAGATTCCACATAGCGGCTGGGGCCGCTGCACTACCACTCTACCTCGGGGAGAGTACAGGCAGTCACAGCTGCACATGCACTGACCTGTGAAAGACCCAGTTGGTGTATGTGTTTCTGAAATGGAAATGACTGTTGTTTCCCCTTCAAAAGTTCTTTTCCCTTTATTTATTAAGTTTTATTTAGTTATAATGTGTCTGTTTGCCTGGGCATGGAATAAAACTCTATTTATGGAAACTTAATTCATCTTTATTAGTTCACAACATATGCTGGGTGGGGTGCTAGTAATAGGTGCATTTGCAATGTTATATTACTACACACACAGCACTCATTACAAGATTCATACTGGGTGCAAAAGAGCAGTGCCAGGTAGAGCACACTACAGCAACACACATTACTGTGGCTCACTATTGAAATGGTCTTTCAAAGCCTCTCTGAGCCAAAGAGCTTTGTGTTGAGCTCTTCTTATAGCCCTGGTATCTGGCCACTCAAAATCAGCAGACAGCTGTTCCATGTCTGCCCTCCACCCCAGCAGAAACTTTTCCCCCTTTGCTTCACAGATTTTATGCAGGACCCAGCAGGCAGCTATAACCAGCGGGATACTTTTGTCACTGAAGTCCAATCTCATGAGTAGACAATGCCAGCGACCTTTTAAATGACCAAAGGCACATTCAAGTGTCATTCTGCATCTGCTGAACCAGTAGTTAAAGCGCTCCTTGCTGCTGTCGACATGGCCGGGGTAGGGTTTCATGAGCCATGGGAATAAGGGGTAGGCTGGGTCTCCCAGGCTCACTGTTGGTATTTCAGTATTCCCAGTGTTAATCTGCCGGTCTGAAAAGAAAGTCTCTGCTTGCAGCTTTCTGAACAGTCCTGTTGGTGTCACTAGGCATCACCCTAGGTAACTCGGGGGGTTGGAAGACCCAAGAGTCGATGAAGCCCCCCCGCTCTAGGCCTAAGTGAATCAAAGCCCCTGCATGTTAAACTTTACTAACCTCACAGGCCAGCAGCTGGGAAGCAGTAGTGATAAGGGAAACCTACATGCTTCTAGCTAAAGGACAAGATTACTTGCAGAAAGAAACAGTGAGAACAAGTTGCACAGCCAAGGTCGTGTAATGTATCCAGAGGGAGAAAGGGGGAGAGGTGGGAATGGAGGGGGGGGAGGTGAGAGAGGGCGGGGGAAGAAGGGAAAGGGTTAGCTGCAAAATGTATAACAGATAAAGGCCGCTTATGTTGGTGTGCTTGATTTGAGACGTGCCTGTCTCCTTGCACCACTTTGAGATCTCAAATAAACTTTGATTGCTTCTCCACCCTGGTGTGTTTATTGGCGTGACACACACCGGGCAACGGACCCCGCTGTTGCTGTCCTCGGGCACTCTGTGCCAGCAACAGTCCTGCGTTTTTAAAGATGCGAGCCTCATGCATCTTCCCTGACCAGCCCACATTCATGTCAATAAAGTGTCCCTAGCGAGCCACCAGCGCTTACATTACTATAGAAAAGTAGCTCTTTTTGTTGATGTACTCAGTGGCAAGGTGGTCAGGTATCAAAATAGGGATGTGTGCGCCATCTATTACCCCACCACAGTTTGGGAACCCCATTGCTGCAAAACCATCCATTATATCCTGCAACTTGCACAGACTCGCAGTCCTTCATAGCAGGACTCAATTAATGGCCCTGCACACTTGCATCACAACAGCCCCCATGGTGGATTTCTCAACTCCAAACTGATTCCCGACTGATCGGTAGCAATCAGGTGTCACAAGTTTCCACAGAGGAATCACCACTTGCTTCTCCACTTCAGTGCAGATCGCATTTTGGTTTTGCTGCACTGGAGGGCTGGGGTGAGCTCTGCACACAGATTCAGGAATGTGGCCTTGCACATCTGAAAGTTCTGCAGCCACTGCTTGTCATCCCAAACCTGCATGACAATGTAATCCCATCAGTCTGTGCTCATTTCTTGGGCCTGGCACCGGCGTGCCACCATCTGCAGTTGCCCCATGAATGCCTCCAACAACTTTGAATTGTTTCTATATCCCACAGCTATCTAGCCTCCACGGACTCATCATGTTCCCCATGGCTCTGCAAATACTTCAGGATCAGGTGCCCCATGCTTGCAATGCTCATCACAATAGTGCAGAGCTGTGCAGGATCCATGCTTCTGACACAGATGACGGGCAGGAAGCATGGGTTTGTGGGGATTTTGAAAAAAGATGTGAAACATTATGGGATGCAGATTAAATTATGGGATGGAGAATACTGCAATTTGGGATGTTGAAATCATGCTCCCAGTCAGGAGTGCATGACTTTTTTGGGCCCCATGAGGCATTGCAAACCTCACAAAAATACCCTGTGCTAGATGGTGGCAAGTTGCACAGTGTAATAAGTACCCAGGGTTCACTGCTCTCTGCATTGATGTAAGCGCTGCTAGTGAGGACATGTGCTGCTGACACGAGGAGTGTAGTTTGGACACGCAAAAGCGATTTAATTACGGTGGCAGCTGTATGCCGACGTAACCTAGGTCCACATAATTTTGTAGTGTAGACATGCCCTTAATCTTCCAGTATGAGACGAGCTGTCTTGCATGTACATTTCTAAGGTGTGATAGGGCCATTCACCAATCCTTTGTGTCACGATGTTCCTTAATATCTCATTTCATCTTGGTAGGCCACCTAAATGGTTTTCCCGTGCCTGGCTTCACAAGTTCAGAGCAAACATTTTCAAAGTTATAAAGCAAAGCTTACATATTTCCTTATGGCATGGAATACAGACATTACAAGTGAGATGAATGCATGCAGCAATTTACAAGCATTTCACAGAGTCTAAACTCTGAATACATTTAGCACACACCTTAACTTTTTATAGTTGTCACAAATTTCAGTAGTGTTGTGACCCTGTGTGCCAGATTGCAACACCACTCACTCGAATTTGGCCCAGCTGCCCCTTCATAGGGGTGGGTAGACCAAATTTGAGTAAGTGGCGTTGTGACCCTCAGTCAGATTTGGTCTGACCACTCCTCTAAAGGGGTGGTTGGGCCAAATTTGACTGAGTGGTGTCGCAGCCTGGCACATGGAGTTGCAACACCACTCAAATTTGAACTAACTGTACCAAAACCACAACTATACCAAACAGCGTCTGCAACTTTTGAACAAAAAGAGTCACAGTTTTCTTACAGGCTTGGGTGACCAGATGTCCCAATTTTATAGGGACAGTCCTGATTTTGGGATTTTTACCTTATATAGGCTCCTATTACCCCCCCATCCCCTGTCCCGATTTTTCACACTTGCTGTCTGGTCACCCTATTACAGGCTTAATGCTGATATATGAGCCAGAAAGGGCACAACTTGACTTTCAGATCCTGGGTTGTGTTTGCGTGGTTAACAGAATAGATGTGACAATATCTCTTATTGGACCAACTTCTGTTGATGAAAGAGACAAGCTTTCAAGCTACACAGAGCTCTTCTTCAACTCTGTGTAACTCAAAAGCTTGTCTCTTTCACCAAGGGAAGTTGGTCCAATAAAAGATTATCCATCTTGTCTATCTAATATCCTGGGACCAACATGGCTACAACTAACACTGCAAACAAGTTAGAATAAATGTCATTGCACTTATAAACTGAGCACACTTGGGAGATCTCATCTAAGTGGAATTCCTGATTAAGCACATCCTGACTAAGGTGAGGGCTCTGTAATGAGTGGATTACAATTAAGAGATGTTTCCAGTGTCATTATTTAATTATTCAACAAATTCCAGTGTAAGTACAGTGTTTGCCCCCACTGTGAAGATATTAATCTTTGAAATCAAATTTGAATTTCAGGGCAAGGAGTGTGGTGTAGCATTAGATCAGTGTCTGGGAATCAGGATGCCAGAGTTAAAGTACTGCATTGACTTGCTGTGAGGTTTTGAGCAACTCATTTTATCACTTTGTGCCGCAGTTCACTCATATGTACAATGAGGATAATACCTACGTACCTGACAGAGGTGTTGTAAAGCTTTTTTATTTGTAAAGTGCTCTGAGATCCTTGGATAGAAGCAGCTGCAGAACTGCAAAGTCTGGTTTGGTGTCACTATTATTAGCAGTCATAAGAAAGAAAAGAAAGTATTTTTAAAAGATTAATACTTTTGTGGAAATTGTTAATTTACATAATTTTTAGGTTTCTTCACCAGTTGATCGTAAAGAAAACAATTCACGAAACAGCAGTGTAGAGGAAGACAAAGATGATGATAGCGAGAAGCATGAAATGAAGAAAATGAGAATATCGCCACAGACTTCTGAGGGGGAAATTAACTGCATTTTCCAGCAGCAGATACAAAATGCTAATGAGCGTCCAGGTATGAGAATGACTAAGTTTACCTTGTCGGTCAGCAATGCCAACTACTGTTATAGAACTTTGGTAAAATTCTACTCTTGAATCTGCAGATGGGGAATTCTGTGTCTGTAAGAACAGAATGATGGAGTCAAAATTCACCCTGTGGATATGAGAGCAGAACTTTGTTCTTAGTATTTCATATTTGCACTTATGTGAATTAACTTGGAGGAGGAAAAAAAAGTCATGGATGACAGGTGCCCTAGCATTTGTCAGTTATCTCAGTTTTTCCAACCTAGCAATTGCAAGTGTACAATATACATCTGAAAAAGAAATATTTTAAATAAAATGAAGTACTGCATTTTCTAATAATAATACTTGGTACTTATAGGAGATCTTCAGATGGAAGGTGCTAATTCACTTTACAGATATTAATAAAATAAAGCTTCCCAATACTTCTCTCACCCTAAAACATGAGTAAGCATATATAGCCATTTTACAGGTAGAGAGATGAAGGCACAGAAAGCTTAAATGACTTGTTCCAGGTCACACCAAGATTCTGCGGTAGGGCCAGGAGTGAAGCAGATTGCTTGATTCCTAGTCCTGTGTTCAAACCACAAGGTCATAATGTACTGGAATGTGCCTTTTCTAGACAGTAATCTGCTGTGGAGTGTTTTTAGAGATGCTATTTTATGATTGACAGGAAGAAAAATTGTACTTTGTTCTTTTGATATTTAACATTTCAGTCAAATATTTTTAAGTTATATGAAATAATCTATATTTTTGTATGGTCTTTTGTCAGAATAGATTTCTAGCTCAGTAGGTTCTGAAGATCAGTGTGTTGAAACTCAAGCTTCTAAATTCAATAAAGCATCTCGGTGGAATGTGAAAGAAGGTATTATTTTTCAGATGCATTGAGTTAACAGAGCAGTAAAACAGATTCTTAGAAAAGGCAAAGGAGGAGTGAGGAGAGGGAAGAGAAGTGTGTGGTGGTGATATTTCAAGAGGGGAATTAAGGAAGGTACAAGAGGGTTGTGGTTTTTTTTAATTTAAGTTCTTTAAATAAAAGAAAAGGAAGGAAAATAACTGTTCATGTAGTGTCAAGATCAAGAGTTTAAATTTGTGGGTTTGATTCTGTCTAGGTTTTCATACTATAGTGATGGATGTGGTCTCTGAGTGCCTGATACACCTTTCTGGGTTTTGTCAACACAAGTCTGCAAAACCCAGTGGTGGTAAGTGTGTCTGGAGCAGTTTTAGGCAACTTGTACCACATCCATTCCACTATGGCAGGAATGGTCTGATGAAGACCCCAAAGAGGTTTGGATTTGTTCAGTAATTCTACACGTCCAGGCCAGGTAGGAGAGGCACTCTTAGGCATGGAGACCAAGTTGGATTTTAAAGCTGCTTTCCCCTGGCAGAACCACTAATATCCTCCCTTGTGGTGAATTCTACTCCCCCCCAGCACAGATGAGCCCCGGGCTGGGCCCCTGTAAAGGTGAATCTGGTTCCAAAATGTCAGAAAATCAAAAAGTATTATCTATGTGGGATGTGGAAGAGTGTTATTATAATACTTTTCCTTACTAGGCTGTTAAATTCATGTCCAAGTATAAAATTGCTACTTGTGATTCCATAGTTAAGGTTGCAACTGTTGTTCCATATCATTGAGGCCAATAACTTTTTAGGAATTAAAAATGGATTACTCATTTATATGGATAACGAGGCCATTCATAGCAAAAAATATATCATTGACTTTTATGGCTCTGTACCAGTTTATGCCAACTGAGGATATGGCCCAGAGTTGTCAAGTAATTCGTAAGGGAGGCACTATGATCTAGTGCAATGGTCTCTAACCTTTTTACGCCCAAGATCACTTTTTGAATTTAAGGGCAACCCAGGATCTACCCTTCCCCGAGGCCCTGCCCCTTCCCCGAAGCCCTGCCCCATTCACTCCATTCCCCCCCCCAATCGCTCGCTCTCCCCCACCCTCACTCACTGTCACCGGGCTGGGGCAGGGGGTTGGGGTTCAGAAGTGGGTCCGGGCTCTGGGCTGGGGCTGAGAGGTTTGCAGTGTGGGAGGGGGCTCCGGGCTGAGCCTGGGGCAGGGGGTTGGGGTGCAGGAGGGGGTTTGGGGTGCTGGCTCTGGGAGGGGTCTCCGGGCTGGGGTTTGGGGTGCAGGAGGGGGTATAGGGTGCTGGCTCTGGGAGGGGGGTCAGGGTGCAGGAGGGGGTATAGGGTGTGGCTCCGGGAGGGGGCTCAGGGCTGGGTCTTGGGGTGCGGCCTCCCGCCAGGCGGCACTTACTGTGGGCGGCTCCTGGTCGGTGGCGCAGCGAGGCTAAGGCAGGCTTCCTGCCTGCCCTGGCCCCACGCCGCTCCTGGAAGGGGTCAACATGCACCTGTGGCCCCACGTGCTGCCCCTCTCTGCTGGCACCGCCCCCTCAGCTCCCATTGGCCACAGTTCCCCGTTTCTGGCCAATGGGAGCTACGGGGGCGGTGCTTGCATGCAGGAGCAGTTTGCCGAGACCCCTGCCACACCCCCACCCCCAGGGGGCCGCGGGGGATGCACTGGCTGCTTAGTGGCAGCCCTGCTGCACCACCAGAGATCGCAATCGACTGGAACAGTCTCTAGGATCGACCAGTCAATTGCGATCAAGTAGTTGGTGACCACTGATCTAGTGACTAGTAAGCCTTGGATCAGAGTTCTGTTCTGGCTCTATTACATGTTTTCCATGTAACTTTTGCAGGTCACGTCAACTCTTTCTTCCTCTCTTAGCTCTTCAAATAAGTGGACTTGTGCACATTCCTATAAACAAAGGGGCAATTTTAGTGGGGAATGCCTGCAGAAGAACTATCTTACTAGATCCTGAAATTTCCTTTCAATTTAGAAAAGAAGACCAGACCTGTTCAGAGGCTGATCACAAATATACATTTCTCTGTTGGCATCATTGATAGAGAATCCTGTTTAATTTTGAAATAATGGTAATTTCTTAAGCATATTATTGTTTCTGTCCTCAACTGCTTATTTCCAGATCAAATGTCAAAATGTACCTGAGTTTCCCATCTTTTGGTATCGAAACTTTTTGTTGAGTAGGTAGAGGAACATATTAAAACTTTAGATGCTTTGTAGCATTTTGAAAATGGAGCAGTTTAAAATCTTCTTGATCTCAAAATGACTTAATTTAATAAAAAAATTCAGGACACATTTTAGTTGTTAATGAGATTTACCTCTAAAAATCTGAAAGCATGAGAATTTTTTTGAGTTTCAGCCTTATTATGGGATTGTGGTTACAACTTTTGCTATGGATAAACCATTACCTCCCCAGAATAAATATTACACACCTGCCAAACTAGAACTCTGGTCCTATGTGTCCAGAAACACAAACATCTACCACTATCTTTCTACCACAAAGGAAAAGTTCTGTTATCTTCTAGATTCTAGAAGGACCTGTATATTTCTTTCCTGCTGTAACCAACCAACAAAAAGCAACATATGCTAGTGAATGGTCCTATTCCTACTGAAGCTGCTGCCAAATAATTCCTATTGACTGGTGATTATTTTATTAAATGCTTGAAGCTCACATCCTATTTTATATCTAATCTACAGCAAATTCTACCAATCTAGAAAATACTGAAGAGAAAGATATAGATCCTCGGATTCAAGAAGCGATAAAGAAGATGAATAAATTGGACAAGATACTGGCAAAGAAACAATCTAGAGAAAGAGAAATTAAAAAACAAGGCAGAGAAGTGAGGGCAAAACTTTGGGAAGAACTTCAGGTTAGCAATGTGTGGTGTTTTTTTTTAAATATTTACCAATAAAACAATATCTCAGAATGCTATCTTATGGAAGGGAACAGTCTAGTTCAGCAGTTCTCAAACTGTGGGTCATGACCCCCTTCAAATAGGGTTGCCAGGGCTGGCTTAGACTTGCTGGGGCCCAAGGCTGAAGCCCGAGTCCCATTGCCCAGGGCCGAAGCCAAAGACTGATGGCTTCAGCCCTGGGCAACGGTTGCTGCTTTGGCCCCCTTGCCCAGAGTGGTGAGGCTTGGCATTTGCCCCTCCACCCCCTGGGCAGTCCCCCTTCCTAAGGTTGCGAAGTAATTTTTGTTGTCAGAAGTGGGTCGCGGTGCAATGAAGTTTGAGAACCACTGGTCTAGTTTCATGAACACAGTTTATTATTCAATAGTTATTGACTGGTGAAGGACACTGACATGAAAGGGAACAGAAAGAACTGTACATTATTATAATCATCTTATTATTAACCCCTCAGGTCTTGGTTCTCAGATCAGATTTAGTTGCAACTAGAACCTCCTCTCAAACTCTCAGTGCACACACAAAGCATAGTGCAACAGGGAACTATCCTGTACCAATATCCAGTGCTGTCTAAATTGTGTCTGGGAAGCTGAGAGGAAGGAACTACAGTCAGTCATTCTAAGAAGATGATAAACACTTTCCTAGCATTTCAGAGGAAATTCACAAATGATGTCTGTATATCTCTTGAGGTTTAGATATTGGTGTTGCAAGGGACACACATCAGGGCAAAGTCAGGCTGTCAGCTGAAGCAAAGGACACTCTTTAGTTTTTTCTGACCAAGAGGCTCATGCCAACACTTTTTGGAAAGATCAGTCAGCAACTTCAGACATATTGCAATGTAAGAAACCCATGAGAATTTGTCATTACAGTTACATAATTGATTCCTGAGGACTCACCACTCTTATCAGTTCTTTGGCAATATGAAGATTCCTGTAACAAATTTGATCTGTGTGTAGGATCTACGATCCTCATAAAACTACTTTTCAGCTTCATGGTTGGTAGGTCTCTTCCTTTTCTCCCTGAAAGTATCTTGCATTCTCATTACCTTGTCCAAAGGGGTTTCAGCACTTAGCATGCTCTCAGTGAAAGCTCAGTTACACATTCTGTCAAACATGGTAGTTCTGTGAACTAAGCTGGCCTCCATCCACAAGGTCACCATAATTTTCCTCATATAATATGAAGTGGTATTGTAGTCCTTTTTTGGATGCATCCAGACATCCAAAGGAAGTAGAAATGTATAAGTTAGATGTGAACAGAACCTACAGAGGTGATTATAACAAAGGCATTCAAAACCTTTGGTACAACTTCTCCCATTACTATGCACTCTATGAAAAGAACAGCAATTTTTGTTGGCAGAGAAATCACGTCTTATGAGGATGTCTGATAGAGCTGGCCAAAACTCAGGGGTTTTGGTTTGCCAAAAATGTTGGTATTTTGCAATTTGCTTTTGGTCTGATTCAGAGCAAAACCAGATTTTACAGAAATTTCTCCCAAAACAAAACAATGAGGCATCCTTGTGGCACCTTAGAGACTAACAAATTTATTGGGCAAAAGCTTTTGTGGGCTATAACCCACTTCATCAGATGCATGGAGTGAAAAAAAGTAGGCAGGTATAAATATACAGCACATGAAAAGATGGGAGCTGCCTTACCAAGTGGGGGGTCAGTGCTAACGAGGCCAATTCAATCAGGATGGATGTGGCCCATTCCCAACAGTTGACAAGAAGGTGTGAGGATCAACAGAGGGAAAATTATTTTTTTGTAGTGACCCAGCCACTCCCAGTCTTTATTCAGGCCTAATTTGATGGTGTCAAGTTTGCAAATTAATTCCAGTTTTGCAGTTTCTCACTGAAGTCTGTTTTTGAAGTTTTTTTCTTGAAGAATGGCCACTTTTAAGTCTGTTATTGTGTGTCCAGGGAGATTGAAGTGCTCTCCTACTGGTTTTTGAATATTACAATTCTTGATGTCTGATTTGTGTCCATTTATTCTTTTGTTTAGAGACTGTCCGGTTTGGCCAGTGTACATGGCAGAGGGGCATTGCTGGCACATGATGGCATATATAACATTAGATGTGCAGGTGAATGAGTCCCTGATGGTGTGGCTGATGTGGTTGGGTCCTCTGATAGTGTCGCTAGAGTAGATATGGGGACAGAGTAGGCAACGAGGTTTGCTGCAGGGATTGGTTCCTGGGTTAGTGTTTCTGTTGTGTGGTGTGTAGTTGCTGGTGAGTATTTGCTTCAGATTGTGGGGCTGTCTGTAAGCGAGGACTGGCCTGTCTCCTAAGGTCTGTGAGAGTGAGGGATCGTCCTTCAGGATAGGTTGTAGATCCTTGATGATGCGCTGGAGAGGTTTTAGTTGGGGGCTGTAGGTGATAGCTATTGCCGTTCTAGACTGAGGTTGATGGTGAGGTGGAAATAGTTGAAATCCTGGTCGAATTCCTCAAAACCTCCTTCCCATGGGTCCAGATGATGAAGATGTCATCAATGTAGCACAAGTAGAGTAGGGGCACTAGGGGACAAGAGCTGAGGAAATGTCAGCCATAAAAATGTTGGCATACTGTGGGGCCACGCGGGTACCCATAGCAGTGCTGCTGACTTGAAGGCATAAATCATCTCCAAATCTGAAATAGTTGTGGGTGAGGACAAAGTCACACAGCTCAGCCACCAGGTTTGCCGTGACGTTATCGGGGATACTGTTCCTGACGGTTTGTAGTCTATCTTTCTGTGGAATGTTGGTGTGGAGGGCTTCTACATCCATAGTGGCCAGAATGGTGTTTTCTGGAAGATCACCAATGGATTGTAGTTTCCTCAGGAAGTCAGTGGTGTGTCGAAGATAGCTGGGAGTGCTGGTAGCATAGGGCCTGAGGACAGAGTCCACATAGCCAGACAATCCTGCTGTCAGGGTGCCAATGCTTGAGATGATGAGGCGTCCAGGATTCCCAGGTTTATGGATCTTGAATAGCAGATAGAATACCCCTGGTCGGGGATCTAGGGGTGTGTCTGTGTAGATTTGTTCCAGTGCTTCTTCAGGGAGTTTCTTGAGGAGATGGTGCCATTTCCTTTGGTACCCCTCAGTGGGATCAGAATTTATTTTCGGAAACACGAAAACATGATGATCTTGAATGGAAATATATGAAATTAACATTCTTTTTAGTTTCACCATAGCAGTGGCGAAACTGACAAGAATGTCAAGTTTTCTCAGCTGCTGCCTGGGCTCTCCAGCACAGATCAGGTGTGTCTAGCAGAGTGTCCTCCCAACCCCCAGACAACTGATTCTCAGTGTTTTTGCCCAGCCAGTCCCAATCTCACCATTTTTCGTGTCCCAATCTATTTCCTGGTGTGGAGCATGCTCACTTGCTCTGTGGTGATGGCACCATGCACTGTCCAATCACATGTAGGAGCTGTGAGGGAATAAGTGCACACAGACTCTTTGGAGATTTTAGCTGCTAAACCCTAAGAAGTCTCTGCTGACCATGTGTGGACTGAAATTTTTCAAAGACTTATAACTTGGCCCAACAATAAAAGGTACATTCCTGACAAAAAGCCCACCCCTTTCAAGTCCCTGCTCCAATGTGTGGGAATACTAGAGCTTCTCACCAAAAAGGTCACCAGAATTTTGTTAACATTACAGAACATATTTTTCCCAAACCTCATTCTCAGAAATGAACTATTTTGGCTGAAACTTTTTCCAAAAAATCAGCTTGAAGTCTGGGAAATTTCAGACCAAACAGTTATATTTAGGCAAGGTTATGAGTAGGTGAAAATAGAGTCTTATATTGGGAAGTGTCTTGCAATGTTAATAATAGGCAGTGCTACCAGCCCCGCATATAATATGTATAAAATTTGGTTTGAAATGGTAAAGCAGTATATGCAATGTAAATCATACTGCAAGTCTACCAGGGTTCAAATGTATGTATGTATAAAACTATATAGTAGTTCCTACAATCCATATATAGATGATGTACAATAATTCTAAGAGTATACAGAGCTTAAAAATCTGTGCTACTTTCATAAATGCTCAGAGGGTCTAAGACATTCAAATCACGCAAAAAAGTAAGAGAAAAACAGTAAGAAAATAATGTTTACCCAAAAGCTTGATTGACAAAAAAGGCTTTTGGTGTGTGATCTGAAGTTTGCTAGACTTGGGGCTCTGATAGGTCATCAGGAAAAGTATTTTACTGTAATTCCAATCTGATCATATATTTGCTCCCATCTTATATTTTCATACTTTCCCTCTTTTAAATAGTCTGTAACCTCACTAAGTGCTTCAGGAACTCAAGAGGAGATCGAAAATACAAACAAATTTTTAGCTTTGACCTCCTCATTGCAGGAGACCATTGGTAAGTAAATAAAACAGGTAAATGCTAAATATCTCATAAGATTATTGTATATGTTGATTATAGCTGTATTTCTGTAAGTTCTAAGATATCACTACTATTAAAATAGAATAAAATGTTTTCCATAACAAGTGCAGTTTTAAACTTTTATCAATAAAATAGTCCTTACATGTAAAAACTTGTAGAGACAATTTTTCTAAACCTCAAACTGAATAAAAAGTATTTTTGATGCTGCACATGCCTTCACAAGGCAGTATTGCTTTACAGATTTTTCTTTGCAATAATTCTGCAGTATTTCAAATGACTGGGTAGCCATGAAGGTTTAACTAAGTAGAAGCAAGATAGGAGAAATGTGAATAACTTATGTCTGTGATAGATAAATCAGGGCTGATGTTAGAAAAAAAAAATTCTAAGCTGCTTTATAGACTGAGTTGGTGAATCCCATTTTATTGTAATCAGTACAGAACCCTGTATTTGTCTTCAGAATCTAACTATTGGCAATTTTATCTTCATTTTTTATCCCTCACATTTACATTTTGACCTTTGATCCCTAGCCATTCAGCCTTGTCTGAAAATTCATCAGCAAAGCTAAACATTTTTAAAAGGCCCTATCCAGCAGAGCAGATATATGGTCTCCTGCGGTGTGAGGCTGTGGCCATAACTATCCTATTGAAAAGGAAGGTTGGCCCAGCAAATGCTCTGAATACGCTGCTTCTGCTTCTCAGGCCTGGTCCACACTAACCCCCCACTTCGAACTAAGATACGCAACTTCAGCTACTTTAATAACGTAGCTGAAGTCGAAGTACCTTAGTTCGAACTTACCGCGGGTCCAGACGCGGCAGGCAGGCTCCCCCGTCGACTCCACGTACTCCTCTCGCGGAGCAGTAGTACCGGCGTCGACGGCGAGCACTTCTGGGATCGATCCGGGATCGATTTATCTCGTCTAGACAAGACGCGATAAATCAATCCCAGAAGATCGATTGCTTACCGCCAGACCCGGAGGTAAGTATAGACGTTCCCTCAGAAGGAATGACTTTAAAGTACTGTAGAAAGAAATCTGGAAAATAAGTGTCTGCTTTACTGAAACCAAGGATATTTAACCTACAGCCTATAACACTCTTTACCTGGGCTACTCCTGAACATTTCAAATGGAACTGGAATTCCAGTGCATTGAGATTCTATCGTACAGCACGCTAAGTAAACCTCTGGTTACAACAATAATCAGATTCAGAGTTTCAAAAATATACCTTAATGAATTTTAACATTCCGGTTATTAAATTCAGGGTCAGAAAGCTTTTTGAAGACACACACAGCATTCTGTGGGGTAGTTGGCTGTGCAGCGTTGTTACAAAGAATAATTTAACAATAACTCTTTTGCATTTAAAATGCAGCAAATACACGTGCTTTGCTCTTACCACCTTTGATTTTGACTGTGCTTTGCACTGAATTATCTTGGCAATGCTTATATTGCTCTCAAATGTATGAATTGTTTTGTCCAGCTCTTAAACACAGACTTTTTCTTTTTGGTTGGGGAAAGATTTCTTGGAGTACAAATTTTTGACCTCTGTAATCTAAAAAAATATTTCAACCTCTTAAATAAAAGAATAACCAAAAGTTGTCTTTTGGTAGCCTGTTGCACTGTAGAATTTTGATTCTCACCACCTCGTGCATTCAAAACTTAAAAATATTATATTATTGGCTGTTACAAAATTTAATGAGAGAATCTTTACTTGGAATCATCTTGGATTATAATTGTTTCTTTTCCTATCACAATGGTTTTTTTTGTATAGTTGTCTGACCATTAACGTTCGACTTGTTGTGACTTTGTGTAGTTTTATAACTGAATTATACCATTCTGTGCTGGACTTTTTGAAAATGGTAAAGAAGTATACACAGGAGAAGAGGATTTTTACATCAATAACTGCATAACATTTATTTAGTTTACTGTTCAGGGGCAAAAAACACAAGATTTACAAATCAGCTTTACAGCAATTTAAAACTGTCCAGTAGGTGTCAGCATCTAATAAAAAGAATATGCTTTACTAGGTCTCTTAACCTTTAAAATATGGAAAGAAAATTTGTTTATGAGGTTATTATTAACAAACTCCACACTGCACTTCCTTTTTCTTTTCAAAGGTAACTACTGCTGTATGGGTCATGTGGATTTTGATGCATGGCATCAGGACAGCTGTGTGCATAGTGTAGATTTTTCCAGGGTCCTCCTTGCCTCAAGGTTTTATGCAGTATGTTAATACTTTTCATTCATCAGGTCATTTTGTATGATTGGCAGCAGAGGAACTTTCCCTGGTTGAAAATAAAGAAATGAACGTAATTAACTTTGTCTTTTAGCGCTTGAATATTTAGCTTTTATTTTATTTGATGACAATAAATGATGCAAGGAAGGCTGTTTTGAAAATATTCTGTTTTCAAAAGAGTCATTAGAGTATCAAATGCCAGCTACATCTACAAAATCACTTATATCCAGCCACTTGTGTCTCAACCTCTCTAGCAGCAGAAACACATCTGTCCTAATTGTGGCAGAAATTAGACTCTGCAGCTATAAAACTCTCATTCAGTTGTTACGAAATGACAATCATCATCATGCTTTCAGTTGAGAAGGATAGTATTAATTTGTTGTTTAGTTGATATTCGTTATATCTCTCAAATGTATGCAGATTCTTACAGTATGTGCTCTTTAAGTGTGCACAGATTGCAGAGCGGCCAGTGAGGGGCTTCCCCTTAACCTGCACTCTCTGGCTAATTCTTGCCAGGAGCATGACTAACACTTGGAGTACTTGAAGCAGCTCTTGAGCACTGGGATGTTTGGTACCCATTTCTCCCAGATCACACTCCTGACAGAGGCCAGTTGGATTTCTGACAACTTGGGCATAGCTAGACACCCGCTGTGAAAATCCCCTGGGCACTTAACTTTCAATTGAATCTCTAGATGATTCCCCAAATGGCTACTCATGTCTACTGAAGCTTTTGAACATTTTGGCCTTAGGCTGTATCACTTACGTATAATTACCAGCCCTACAGAAGCCTGCAAATGCATCAGAAGAAAAAAACGTGTAATCCCATTTACTCAAAACCTCTATCAGACTTCATAGATACATCAGAAGTGGTATAATACATTTTGATATTTTCTTCCAATCTTACTGGCCCTTGTTCATAATGATTCTTTTACTCACATATTGACTCCCTTACTCACCTTTCTTCTTTTCTTTTACTCCATCTATTCTATCTCTTGTAAAATGTTTTATTGTATTGTTGTAACTACTTGAAGAAAACCAATAATAAACCTCTATGACTCTTGCGTATCATACTTGGAGAAATGTACGTAAATCATACTGTTAAGTCACAAAAATTTGCTTTAAATAAGTATTCAACAATTATTCAATACACTTCTAATTAACAGATCCTTCCCATTCTGAAGAAGATGAAATATTTATTTCAGTATTTCACACACAAATTAATTCAGAAGATTACGACCGCAATGAAAAGCAAGCTGTACAGGGTAAGCCCTTATTACAGTTCTATAATTATGTAATGAGCTTTTGTATTCTGGATTTGAATGAGTAAAATGTTCCAAAAAAATCAAGGCTGAAAGGGAAGCATTATGTGCCATATAGATGTTAGAAAACATAACATTCCCATAATGTATGGAATATAAATAGGTAATACAAGCTTACACCCTGATTGAAAAATTTAGGAGTTTATCAACAATGTGGTTCTTTTTGGAAATTGTATAAAATTTATCACTGATAATCATAGGATCGTAGAAATGTGTAGCTGTAAGGGTCCTCTAGTCCAGGGCCTGCACCGAGGCACCACCAGTTAAAACCTAGACCATCTGTGACAGGTGTTTGTCTAAACTGTTCTTAAAACTCGATGATGGTGATTCCACAACCTCCATGGAAGCCTATTCCAGAGTTTTAATATCTAACATAAATCTTCCTTGCTGTAGATTAAGACCTTTACTTCTTTTCCTAATTTCCGTGGACATAGAGAACAACTGATCACCATCCTCTTTATAACAGCCCTGAACATGTCTGAAGACTTTTAGCAGGTCCCTCCTCAGTCTTCTTTTTTCATGACTAAATATGCCCTTTTTTTAATTTTATTTTTTTTAACATTTCTTCCTAGGTCAGGCTTTTTAAACCTTTTCTCATTTTTGTTCTCCTCTGGACTCTCTCCAGTTTGTCCACATCTTTTCTGAAATGTGGTGCCCAAAATACTCCAGCTGTGGCCTCACCAGTGCCAAGTAGAGCGGGGCAATTACCTCCTGTGTTTTATATATGACACTCCTGTTAAAACACCCCAGAATATTAACCTTCTTTGCAATTGCATCATGGTGTTGATTCATATTCAATTTGTGATGCACTGTAACCTCCAGATCCTATTCAGCAGTACTACCACCTCATCAGCTATTCCCCATTTTGTAACTGTGCATTTGATTTTTCCTTCCTAAGGGAAGTACTTTGCACTTGTCTTTATTGAATGTCATCTTGTTGAATTCAAACCAATTCTCCAGTTTTTCAAGGTCATTTTGAATTCTAATCCTGTCCTCCAAAGGGCTTGAAACCCCTCTTAGCTTCGTGTCATCTGCAAATTTTATAAGCATACTTTCCACTCCCATGTGGAATCCAGCTATATATTATTTGCCACCTAGTTTGACCAAACCATTGATAACTACACTTTTGAGTATGGTCTTTCAAATAGTTGTTCTCCAGCCTTATAGTAATTTTATCTAGACCATATTTCTCTAGTTTGCTTATGAGAATGTCACGTGGGACTGTGTCTAAAGCCTTACTGAAATCAAGATATATCACCTCTACTGCTTCCCCCCCATTCACTGGGCCAGTAACTCTGACAAAGAAGGAAATTAGGTTGGTTTGGCATGATTTGTTCTTGACAATCCATAGTGGTTATTCCTTATAATCCTGTTATCCTCTGGGTGCTTACAAATTGATTGTTTAATAATTTGTTCCCGTATCTTTCCAGGTATCAAAGTTAGGCTGACTGGTCTGTAATTCCCCAGGTACTCTTTGTTTCCCTTTTGAAAGATAGGTACTATGTTTGTCCCTCTCCAGTCCTCTGGCACCTCACCTGTCCTCCATGAGTTCTCAAAGATAATTGCTAATGCTTCTGAGATTGCTTCAGCTAGTTCTTTAAGTACCCTAAGGTGAATTTCATCAGGCCCTGACAGCTTGAATACATCTAACTTATCTAAATATTCTTTGACCAGCTCTTTCTCTGTTTTGGCTTGTGTTCCTTTCCCCTTGTTGTTAATATTAATTGTGTTGAGTATCTGATCACCATTAACCTTTTTAATGGAGACTGAAGCAAAATAGGTGTTAAACACCTAAGCCTTCTTGATATCATTAGTAGTTAGCTCTCCTTCCTTGCTAAGTAGAAGACCTACACTTTCCTGTGCCTTTCTCTTGCTCCTAATGTATATAAAGAACCTGTTCTTACTGCACGTTATGTCTCTTGGTAGATGTAAATCATTTTGCCTTAGCCTTTTTGATTTTGTCCCTACATGCTTGTGCTGTTCTTTTGTATTCATCCTTACATTTGTCCATGTTTCCACTTTTTGTAGGATTCCTTGTTGATTTTCAGGTAATTAAAGTGCTCCTGACTGAGTCATACACTTACTATGAGGCACCATCTTCCCTTAGGTGTGCAATTAGTAGGCCTATGCTCAAGAAACTCTCTCTCAAATCTGTTAGTTGATGCAAAGTGCAGTATTACCCAGTCTCTAATGTTCCTATTTTGGGTCAAGGTTCTCTGGCCCTATTTGATGTCTTCAGACTTCCTTAATCTTCTTCAGTTTAGTGTTGTTTTGTTTTGTTTTCTATTAAACTGATTATGGTACAGACTGCACTTGTCTTGATGTTTGAGGATCTCCTGACAAAGATCAGACATCCTTGCTAGTTCTTTTAGGTTTGTCTGTTGTTTTGATGCTATTGCTTATGAGATACTATTGTGGCAGGCATCAGTCCAGATAGATTGAGTTGTGTTTCAGTGTCTGTATTCTTCCATCTCTGTGAGATTCCAGTGGGTGGCATTGGGCAGTTGCTTATTTACTCAAAAGGTTATTTTCAGCATGTATACATGACCACAAGGGGAGTAGTGAAATGTTTTAAGTTGCCGTTGCCACCAGTATGCCAATGACGCTCAGCTCTACAAGCATATTATGTGATTCAAAGTAACCTGGTTTCTTGGTGACTGGCCAAGATGGGGGGTTGGACGAGAGGGATTTGGCTAGAGATCGTTCACAACAGGAGAGATGAGGTGTGTGTTTGTTGGGGGGGTGCACTAAGGAGGAGGTGATATTTGCTGTTTCTACTCAGGCTTCTTGTTATTGTGGATTGGTTTGTAATCTCGAGGTCTGTTGCATTCTTGGCTGCTGCCTGGGTTCCCAGGTAGGAGCCAAGATAGGCCCTGAGCCAGTAAAGCAGAGAAGACTGTGCTTGACTATAAATACTTGAGTAGTCCCATTAATGGGACTATTTATGTGTTTAATTTTACATTTAATCCAGTTACATGCTCTGCTGGATTGGAGCCATAGTCTCTTTCCGCTGGTCCAGACATCAGGTTGCAATCTTTCCTCTTTGATGCATTCCTTGCCACAATTATCCATGTCTCTGTCATTCTGCATTAGATGTTCTATGTGAGTCTACCTTTGAAGGCCATTCAGACTTCGGCTAGCACAGAATGCGGTGTTAAGCAGTGTTTCTTATATGACACTTATTATACCTGTGCTTGTAGACTGCACTGGCTTCAGGATGCAATGCAAAGTGTTCATTTTTATCTATAAAACCCTGCATGCTCTGGTTCTTGGTTAGCTTCAAGGTAATGTCTCTCCTATGCTCTGTGATAGCAATTAAGATAGTTTGGGATGCTTTTTCCTACTAGGCCCTAGATTTGAACCCTGGCGGGTTGGAGGCAATTTTTCTTCAAGGGGGAGGCCCTCCACTTGGGAATTCACCTCCTTCATTGGCATTTGCACAGCCAGAGTTCATTTGACCGTAAAGAACGTTGCACAGCCTCTATATATACTAAGACTTCTGTGCAGAGGAGTGGGTAGAACTTCTTATATGAACTTACTTTTAGTTGCCTTTTTTGGTCAGATTGCATATTCTTTAATTTGTGATATTTTTAAATGTAATGTATGTGCTCCTAGAGGCTGTGATGGTTAATCTTTTTATAAATCCAATGATAAGTAAGCACATTCTAGTTTTATAATCAAATAATCCCCAAACTTGTGTCTAACCCCAGGATCAAAGAAAAAAAAAAGAACTATTATGTATGCAGGAGAACAGATCAATTTGTGAAATTTATAGGACATTACATTTGATTGTTTAGTTTTGTCATTTATAAATCTTTGGAATCTGGATCATTCCAAAGTCATGAAAGAATTACCACTTTAAAATTATTAGACATCTCTGAATGGCATATACCATATATTGTCTTCTCATATGGTTTTTGGAGAAACTGTATTCAGAAAACATTAAATCTGAAAATAGCTTGAAGGTGAATTAAATGTTCAGTGTGCTACTTTCTAAATAATCTGATCTGCTTATAAGAACATATCTTTAAATGATCACACATAATATATTTAAGACTGTTACTAAGAAACCATGTTTGTTTCATAACTTGCAAAGATTTAAGGTGAGTTTTAAAACAAAAATTGTTACAACAAGGGACTGTAGAACATCAAAGACCTCATCTGTTTTTCAGCTGTTTCATTTAAGAAATCTGCTTGAAATATCCCCAAACAGTTGCATGCTTTCCCAAAAAATCACCACTTAATTTATCTAATACTGGTGATATAGTTCAAACAATAAGAGGTTTAAAAAGAATGGGTTTAAAATCATGGCAATGTGTCTAACATTTTTGAGGTCAAATCTCCATAAAAAATATTTTGGCCTTCACAAAACTATAATCTTATATAAGAAATAACTTTGCTAAATGGGCACCCTGAAAAACTTGCATTTGCCACATTTAACTGTTGAAATGGTTATGATAATAGTTTCTAATGGTAAATATAGGTAATACTTCCAATACTATAAATATAATAAATAATAGTGAAAATAGTAATTATTGATTTTTGTCTATTGGAGAGGCAACAATCATATTTTTGCAACTGTTTTTTTTTAACTACAGACCATCTAAATGAAATCGAAACAAGTGGCTCACTGAAAATAACAGGAAAAACACATCATAAAAGTGACACCAGAAATAAAAATACTCAAGATTTTATTAAAAAGAACATCGAGGTATGTGTTAAGGCCTAAAATTACTAAAAGATTAGGGAGTTACTGATGTATACTAAATACATTGACAAAAAATATATATGACAGTGTACACACTTCTACAAATAGGTTGCTTTCTTGATTAAGACACATCCCATTATTAATTCTGTAAAAATTAATCCAGATTAAGTGAACAACATTATACCACAGAAATTTGTTGCTCATTGCAAAGTGCTGCTGAGTATTCATCCTTCACTGGTTGTCCAAATTTGCAAATTAGGTCCCCATTTGCTTTTAGATGGTCATATAACAATGAGAAAGTTTATATTTTCCAATCTGTGCCTGGCCACAGCCCATACATTTTGTAGACAAGTACTTCTTTATAACCTGTTTCTAAAAAAATCAAAAGCGATGTTTGGTGTTCTTAAAAGATAATGGGTGGACACTGAATGACTTGAAATTCTCTATCTACAGAACAGTTATAGCAAAGGCCATGGCACAGCAATGTGTCCTATACCATTCAGCCAGTATTTCTCAACCCTAATGGAGAGGAGCAACTTACTGCTATCAGAGGGCAGTTTACTTTCCATGCATCATTTAGTTCTTGACCCATCTGCTAACATTCTCTGCAACAAGGCTGTGGTAGAGTTTTTTTGACGTGTGCACACTTCTGTGCCATGAACAGGAATAAGAATACTAATTTACTTCCTACAGGCCACCAGATTTGTGAGTGGTTTCGATCAGCTAGGTTTTGGGTTTTAACTAGTAGCACAGAAATGAAAACCTGTTTTCCATTGTCAGTATTGTGAGCAAACCCAGTTGTATAGTTTTATTTTTAATGCTTTCTATCCATAAATACTTCAGCTGGCAAAGGATTCAGGGAGCCAACTGGTTATGCTACCGGAAGAGAAGAAAAGATTGGTTGAACTGTTGAAAGATATAGAAGACAATGGCAGTGAACTTCAAGGCATTGAGGTATGATGATTTTAATTTGCACTGATTCATGACCGGATTTTCATGGATGTTTATGATATGGCAAAGGAGGTAAACGGTGAGTTTACCTCAAAGTTTGCAGATGATACAAAATTACTCAAGTTAGTTAAGTCCAAAGCAGACTGCGAAGAGTTACGAAAGGGTCTCACAAAACTGGGTGACGGGGCAACAAATGGCAGTTGAAATTCAGTGTTGGTAAGTGCAAAATAATGCACATTGGAATACATAATTCAACCTATACATACAAAGTGATGGGGTCTGTATTAGCAGTTACCATTCAAGAAAGAGATCTTGGAGTCATTGTGGATAGTTCTCTGACAACATCTGCTCAATGTGCAGTGGCAGTCAAAAAACCTAACCATGTTAGGAACCATTAGGAAAGGGATAGATAAGAAGACAGAAAACATCATAATGCCACTATGTAAACCCGTGGTATACCTACCCCTTAAATACTACGTCTAGTTCTGGTTGCCTAATCTCAAAAAAGATGTATTAGAATTGGAAAAAGTACAGAGAAGGGCAACAAAAATTATTATGGGTACGGAACGGCTTTCATAAAAGAAGAGGTTAAAAAGACTGGGGCTGTTCATCTTAGAAAAGAAACAACTAAGGGAGGATAGGATAGAGCTCTATAAAATCATGAATGATGTGGAGAAAGTGAATAGGGATATGTTGTTTACCTCTTCACAAAAACCAGGGGTCACCCAATGAAATTAAAAAGCATCAGGTGAGTACTTCTTCACAACACAATCACCCTGTGGAAATCATTGCCAGGGGATGTTGTGAAGGCCAAAAGTATAACTGGGCTCAAAAAAGAATTAGGTAAGTTCACAGAGGCTAGGTCCATCACTGGCTATTAGCCAAGATAGCCATGGATGCAACCCCATGCTCTTTGTGTCCCTAAACCTCTGATTGCCAGAAGCTGAAACTGGATCACTCGATAAAGTGCCTTGTTCTGTTCCTTCTTTCTGAAGCATCTGGCACTGGCCAGTGTTGGAAGATGGGACATTGGGCTAGATGGCCCGCTGGTCTGACCCAATTATCAAACTGTAAATCTCTAGCTTTGTCTTTCTTTTCAGGTCTTACTGCAGATTTAAGGTAGTGCATTTAAGGGGAAAAGGTGTGATTTACACTATTTACTCTTTGTTCAGCTTCTGTAATTTTTTGAAATGTAAAGTTTCAAAGTTAATATATGATTGGGAAATAAGTGAACGGTATTTTTTTTCTCTCTTAATAGTATCAGATTCTACTACTTTAAAAAAATTTAGCTGAGTACTGTAAATGATTGTGCCATCTTTTTTTCTGGTAACACATTACCATCAATTTCCCTAAAGTTGAATATGACTGCATTAGATGCACATCATGTTATGTTCATTGCTCAACAAGTGTTATGGGTAAGGAAGACAACAATGTTCTATGGTGATCCCATCACAAATGGATATAAGTTATAAGCATATACTGTTCTAACACCATTAATTGAATGGGAGTGAGGTTGAGATTAAGCAATATCCAGTGGTATAACTGTGTTGAAGTTTATAAGACAGGAATTTTCTAACAATATTTTACTGTGTTGTACCATCAAAACATTATAATGCCATATATTTCTAATAGAGTGTAATGTTGTTGTGACATACCAGGCCATAATCCAGATTAGTGGGGGGATTTGTCACCTCTGTCCTGCAACATTGGGTGCCCTACAATGCCTTACTGTAGTAGCTCCTATCTGGGCCGCTCACAAACAAACTTCTGGCATGCAAGCCACTGCCTGAGTGTCTATGTGTAAATGCAGCTGACCATCTACACCCTGGCTCTCACCAGCCTTGGTTGTACTGCATGGTGACTTCAACCCACCCCCAGTCTGGGATCTTCCCCCAGAAATATATGTCGTATCTGCCCAGCCATCTCCTGGACAGCATAAACTTATGAAGTCCATTATTCTTTTAAGGGAATAATAAGCCATCTTATCGTTTTAAATAGAGTACCAGACACTCCAACTTAAACACACTTGGTTAGATAAAATAGTAAAATAAGTTTATTAACTACAAAGATATTTTAAGTGACTGTGAGTAATGAGGCATAAAAGCCAGAAATGACAACAAGAAAAATAAAGATAAAACACGTAATAATATCTACTTAACAAACTATCTTTGTTGCAAAGCAAACTTTCTCACCACATGCTCCAGCAGATTACTGACCAACTCTCAGGTCAGGACCCTGCCCCCAAAGTCCAACAGCTGTTTCCTTTTGTCTTCTCAGGTGTAGAGAATGAAATGAGCAGAGAGAGAGAGAGAGAGTGGTGCCTTGGGCTGTTTGTCCCTCCTTTTTATAGTTTTTCCCCCTCTTGAAAAATATTTCCAGCTGAGAACCAGGAGATAAAGAGTTTATCTGGAAGGATATTCCCTGCTGGTTTTCTCACCTATTTGAATTTCCTTTGTTTTTCCTTCCTGCTTGATGACTCTGTTTACTGCTTAAATGCAAATTAAGGCAAACACACATTCCTTCCTTTGTCTATGACAGACCTGACTTCTGCCTGGGCAGGGCTGTGTGGTTTGGAATGTGTGTTAATAATATCATACAGGGGAATCTTATAACTTCACATACAATGTTGCACACATATTTTATCAGGACAGTACAGACCAGCAATTTGAGTTTTCATAAATACTTTATTAAGGCATACTGGGTACAAAGATTATTACAATAATATGTACGGTGTGAATACAGAGCTGTATTCCGTCAATTGCAAATTATTTTAGAAGGGAAATTTACCTTTCAAATAAAGCATTCTTTGTGATTAAAGACTTCTGTTGCAGGCAATCTACAAAGTCTTCTTGGAAATGTGTTTCCAGAAAGCTTTGTAAGTTGGTTGCTCACCAGGCTTGCTGATTTTAGGAAACAGACTGGGCTAGTTTGGTAGGGCAAAAAAGACGAACAAAACTCACTCATTCACTTTGTGCTCAGGTGGAGATTGGGATTGGAAGTGAACGTAGGTTCTTTGGGTAGCCTCTGCACATTCCCACTATTTGTAAATGTGCCAGGTTGCTGCAGAGCACCAGAACCTTCTGAAACCAATGCCCATCAGGGTATCCACTTTTTCTTAATCCCTGAAGAAGGGCTCAGAGCTTTTGCCCTGCAAGGAATGAGAAGACAAGACCTGGCCTCTCCGTTTCTTTTCTGGCCCTTGGGAAAGGAACTTGCATCACACAGCATTTACATGGGTAATCTCTCTCTGAACTCTGAAGCAGACGAGGCAGATGGTGTGCATATTGGAAGCAAGTAAAATCTCTGGATAGGAAGCTATGTTACGTCTGACTGGGAGCTGCATAATAGGGCTGAGGAGCGAAAAACTTCCAAAAATGCTTAAAAATCTTGTAAACGCCAAAAGCTATGCTGATTATTGTAATTAATCAACTGTGTACAACGATTAATACTAAAAGTACAATCAATAGGGGAGGCCTAATGAAAATGCAGGCGCAAGTTTCGAGGTCTTCTTGCTACTGTGGCTCAGAGGAACTGAGGTAGTTGAAGATGCTTTTGCTCTATCCTTAATTTGGTGAGTTTTAGAAGAACAAAATTTGAAAGTATAGCTCACCAGATTATGAGTCAATCTTCCCTTCCCTCAATGTGTTAACTATTCCTGCAGAAAATGGTTCAGAGCATACTACCAGATCATGTTGCCAAATCTGCTTGAAACAGATTTGGCAGCATGAAAATGACATTTTAGTCAATAAGATACCTAAATATTTTAAGATTCTAATAGAAACAGAATGAAAAAACTCCAAACCTCTTCTGCCCTCTTTTTTTTTTATATGCTCCACATTCTAGCACACACTTTTCACATTAACAAAAGAAAAACCTGAGAGACCCATTCAGAAATGCCTTCACTTGAAAGTCTTTTAAACAGTTTTTTTGGTGGGCAACATCAAAAATAGTAGTACATTTTCCAAACATAAAGAATGGCATTCTCTACTACATGCAGATTTATGTCTTCTCTCTAGATGTGTAGTCCCTCAGATTTTTAAAACAGGAAACAACTTCAAAAATAGTTAATAAAGGTTTTCTGTGTATCAGGAGTCACCTGTTTAGGATGAATAATGAAGATTCAGCCTAGCAATGCTTTAGCTGTTTCTTATACCAACTCTGATGGCAGCATGGTCATGGAAATGCAACAGTCTACCTAGGTGCTCATATTGGAACCAGTCACCATGTTATCTGGATACCTATCAGAGACTTTCTATTGTGTGTGACAGGCGTTCAGCAGCTCACATTAGGAGATGCTTGTGTATTGCTGCAGACTTAATACACAGTGAACACCAGAAAATAGGAGTGACAGTTTTAGGATTATTCTATTAAATGATTGGTAGAAAACAAATGTGAATATTATGGCCAACATGGGGAAACAGAAAGGAAAATGCTTTCCTTGGTCACTTGAGACCTGACCAGTCTAGAGATGGATTATTTCCCCCCACATTTGATTTATAATGTGACCTAGGCATTTCCTGAGACCTTTGGTAGGGAAGATTTTGAGGAAATTATCAAAAAAATAATGACTAATTTTGACTGTTTTGTATGGGCTCCGATACTTGTTGTTTCAAGAACTGATTAACACTTTTGGGCACTGTGACGGGGTGTATAAACCTGACACTGGCTGGTGAGGGTTAATGAACTGCTCTAGGCAAAGCCTTCAATTCTTGGAGAGGGTTGAGCAGAAGGCAGGAGCTGCTCAGGGACGCACAGCCTGTTGAGGCCCCCTTCAAGAGAATGGAGGGCCTGATGCTGAACCATTACTTTGGAACTATTGGTAGAGACTTACTTGTGGGTGCTGAACCAGTCTATTGCTTACTAGTTACCTCAGAGAGTCTTGCTGTAATTTTGTATGTGTTAGTGTATGTGGTTTTCTTTTCGATCTTTGATAGCCCTGGAAGGTGTGGACTTCCACAGACTCAGTGTCAGGGCTCTCTGTCCTATAGCCAGACCTGTGCCAGAGATGGAAGATTAAAGGCTGTGTGAGTTTAAAACTCATCCCTCACCTAGGGTGCGCCCTGGGAGACCATCTCTTTGCCAGGCACATACTGCCCTGACTTACAGTCCATCCAATCTCCTTGGCTTCACTGATGTTATGTGGGATATAAGTCAGGACAAATTTGGCACACTATATTTAAAGCTTTTTTTCCCCAGGGTTTATTTTTTAGCAGTTTTTGACTTTTATTGTTGATGTTTAAAATCAAGGGGCATCTGGGCGTTTCCATTGTATATACTGTAATGAGTAATGTATATAATATAATTTATAGAGAATCTCTTTGTAATGTTCCCTAGGGCATTTTAACATAGTGCTGTTTCAAACAGCACTATGTTAAAGCGCACTAGGGAACCTTTAGTGTGCACCAGCAGGGCCTATGAGGACCAAGTAATGTGCAACACATTAGCATGCTTAAGAAATCACACCCCTGTAGTCCTCATTACTGCTCCATGTAGGCAAGACATTAGACACAATTAACCATTACCAGTGTTTTTCCAATGTTTATCCAATAAACACAGCTTTCATTTTTTTAACCTCAGGGATGTATTGTCTGTATTTATTGGTTAAAACCAAAAATCAGACGCCCTAACTATGTTACATAAATGGTCTGTGAATTGTATTCTGCATTAAGCAACTGTGCATTCAGTCAGTTCTGCTAGATAACCATCAAATAATGCAAATAGGATTTTTCCTTTAGATCTACAACCTTTGTAAAAGAGATTTCTTATCATTTAAAACTTTTCAAAAGCTCTTTGTCAGGGTAGTTTGACAATCAAATTTGCAAGAGTGTAATCTGTCTCAAATATTCTAAGAGAATAATAATAAGACTTTACTATGTTGTTGGAAAAGCATGTTCTGATTTAATGAACTGGAAACTGGCAGTAGGAGTCTCAGAAGTTTTCTTTTTATGAAAAACTTAAAATCATAAGGCTGTTTGAGAGTACAAGAGAGATTATGTATGTACTGAACTTGCTTCTAGACGTTATCTCGACATCGTAACATGCTATTTTAAACTGGAACTAGTTATGTTGTGTACTTATTTCCATGCAATTCTTCATTTGCTCAGCAAGCTGCAGCCTGATGTGATATTTTCATTAATTGGCTCCAGAAGGTGATTTTGTAACTTCCTTCACCTCCAGTTAGTTTTCGAATACATCCTTGTATGAGAAGCCATTAGAGAACCAACTTTTGACTTGTTGAGGTGGCTCTTGTTTTTTATATGGACATGATGTATTGCTTTAAAAGAACAGTAAATGTTGCCACTAATTTGTGGTTGTCTGTTGAATTTAGTTTGACATGCTCTTCTAATTTTTTTCAGGTTTTTATCATAAAAGTATGCAGACTCCTCTGACTTCTGGCAACTCTTGGTTGCTATTAATTCCATGTGTATTCTCTTACATAATTCATATTTTAGCCTGTGGTATATAATCAGTTTTTGCATAGAGAGATATTGTCAGGGAAAGACAATAGTGAGAGTTTGCAAGGTATTAATTTTGGCTTGAATTGCACTGAATTAGGACTGATGAGTATGTTTTTCTCAGACCGCATGTTAATGACTTTCTTTCTAGTGAATTGATTTACACAAGAGATTGGTTTTAAAGAATCTTCACCAATCCATTCAATTACTTACATTTAAAACATTTTAAGTTTCATTTTTTTTTTAAAATACAGTGCCTCGGAATTACAGTAAGATGTCACTTTGAAGTGATACCAGTTTATTATTTAAAGTAATAAATGAATGCTACGTTTAGTTATTTTCTCCTTTACCAGTGTCATTTCATGGACCAATTTTTTCTGTGTAGCACCATTTGTCTACAAAAGATTATGGCTCCAGTCCTGCGAAATCCCCAAGTGCTGAACTCCTACTGAAATCAATGAGAGTTCCATATGCAGAAAGCTTGCAGGATTAGGCCCTTTATTGAAAGGATTCATTCATTAACTGATGATTTCTTCGTGCTTAGTCACTCGAGGCCTGATTTCCCCTCCCATCTCCCCCCCAAAACTGGGATTTAAATATCACTGCTGTAAATCCAGAGTAAATCACTGAGTCAATTTACATCAATGTTAGAGTGCAATTTTGCCATAGGTACCCAACTGAGTGTCTAAATGGCCAGTTTAAAGTGTCACTAGACACATGACCTTCTCTGGGAACTCCTCAACACAGCGGGAAAGCCTGTGTGTTCCAGTGACTGGAGAACTGTGCCAGCAGGAGTTCTAACCCCTGGTAGAGCCACCCAAGCTCAAAGCATAGGCACCAGATGAAAAGGGGTTGAGTGATAGGCCAAGGACCTATCCCTGTAAAAAAAAAATTACTGTATAGAAACACAGCAAGGTAGCTATTTGAGCAAACAGCATGATAGAGATGGTGGAGTCTTGTTCATGCCCTAAATGATGTTTTACGGTGCAGGAAAGATTCAGATACTAACTTAAACAAACTACATGTTTTTGCATACAGTTGTATGCCCGACATTCACAAAAGCAGGCCCTCATGATTCTTCTCCCCTTCAGCTAGTCTTGTCTTGATTCTGCTTATTTCTGTCCTGTTCCTACTCTGCTTACCAGATAACACTGGTGTGCTAGCTGTGGCATCTGATTTCTTGGGGAGAAGTTATAATGTGAAGCTTATGCACACCCTTGAACTTGCATATACATTACATTAATGAGGTGGTATTTATGTTTGAAGGAGAGCCTTTATTCAGAGCCTATATTTTCAAGCATTTGAAACTTTTTAAAACTACCTGTTGACTTAAAATGTCTCTTATTATGCAGTGACATATTTGTTGATAGAGTTCCATTCGATTACTGTCTCTGAGATTTTTGAGATTTAAATAAACAAATTTTTACATGCCAAGAAGTCTGAGGTTTAGTTTTTGATTTGCTTTCTGGTAACTGACTTAATTTGAAGATTTCTAACTTAATGAGGACATGTTTGTCTTGTTTAGAAAGAAGAAGCTATAAGCATTGCAAAACTGTATTGTACATATGCAGTATGTTTTTTCTGTTAAATTTTAATGATTCATGGAAAAATGATGGTATAAATGTATGTTTTTTAGAATGTAGATTTTTTTTTAATGTAGAAGGTTTGCATACACTTTTTAAAAATTGCTGATTAGTCATATTTAAGAAAAATTAAAAATGTATGCCTGCAATTATTGGATGAAATTTTGTTCTCAGGTACACTAGAAGAACATCATTAATTTCAGGGGAAATCAGATTTACACTCATGTGATTGAGAGCTCACTATATTTTTGTTCTTAAAAATAACATTTCTTTGAGAAGTAATATATGTTGATGTTTGCCTTAAACAGCCATTTTCTTTGGTCATATGAAATAACCGTTTCTCTTAACTTTTTATAGGAAGATGTGTCTGGTTGGCTAATACCAGGAGAAGGGTACACACCTGAACCAATGGAATATCATCACCTAAATGAAATAGATGCTAAACTCCAAGTAGTACTCTCTAATGGAGATTTCTCTGCAAGTCACAGCTCCTGCTCAAAAGTCCCAAGCCAAATTTATCAGGTACAGTAATGCACAATGCCTATGAATTATAGATTTCTTTTTTGGAATATATGTTGAGGTTTAATGAAAATAAACATGTAGAAAAGTGAAAAATACACTTAAATATATCAGGAAGTTTCAGATGCAAAATCTGAGTACTGTAACTTGAATTTTATTAAACAGACAATGGACTTCAGTTGTACTTTTATAATGTGGTGTTACCATAGTTGCTGACAGCTCTGTCTTTTGGGGACTAAAATTGAGTTTCCTCTTTGTTTTTGAAGATTCGGACGGTTTTCCATGATCCGTTGCTGAAGTATGTGCAGTTAGAAACAGTAACAAATGTAGTGAAAATAATCCCCGTTTGGATGCTAGTAGTAAAAGGTGTTAAAGTTCTTTTATTTGAAAAAAAGCATTGTTCAGATTTTGTGCCTGGAGGAGTCTAAATTCTCATTCTTGTCTTCAGTAATGTAGTGTACTGTGAATTAATGGGCAGAAAGTTTGGGTTGACTAAAGCAAAATACTGGTGTGTGTTTTTGAAAATGCTGACTAAAAATGTATAGTACAGTGTTCATTCTTGTAAACAAAAGTAATGCAGGGACATATCCCAATTTTTGCATCTCTTTACACAAATTTGTTCTCTTGTACTACATCTACCGTGCTGTTGGAACAGATGTTTCTACAGAGCCATACATTTGCAAAGCCATAGGTCCTCAGTCATCTATTTATCAAAGAAACAAAAATCTCTTTGAGCTAAAGAGGAGTGAATTTGTCTTCTCCCTTAAGGTTTACAGTTTTTTGAAATTGTATCATTAGTTTTATTTTTACATTATTCTGAATTATCTCCTTTTTGGCATCCTGTTTCTGACATTTTGTCAGAATAATAGAAATGTTCCTCCAGCTGTCCGTGTGCAGGAGGAAGCTCTTCCCGATACTGATGTTAATGCCCTACTAGGAACAGATGTTTTAGTGTGTGAAGCAGCAACCCCCACTGGTCGTTAACTTAATCACATTCATAAATATGGTCAATATACTTTCTTTTTAGGCTTATGGGTCCAATCCTGCAAACACTATCCAGTATAACACTCATAACCATGAGCAGTCCAGCTGAAGTCAGTTGGAATATTCATGATAAGAAGCACTATGTTTGGCCACATTAGACCTGTCATTGCTTTTGCAGAAAAATGCTCTGAAGTTTTTGAGTTGACTTGACCCCAAAAAAACAACAACACACAACATCTGAAATACTGTGTGTATATGCTTTTTAGAAAGTTTAAAAACATTTTATTACCTTTTAGGTATGTTATGAAAACTAAAGAATTGGAGAGTGTACTAATTTCATAAATAAATATTCTATGCCACTGATTACAAATTGACCATAAACTGGCAGTTTTGAAGTACATAAAGGTGGGGTTTTTTTTGACATTCTAATTTAGGAAATTATTTGCAAGGTTTTATATGGTATCTTTGTTTTTACACAAATATTCTTTCTAACGAGAAAGCCATTTGGATGAAATGTACCTAACAATTGAACCCTTTAAAAGGACTTTATTAATTCAGTCCAGCATCCTTTTATACTCTCTATTTAAATGTGGTGATAGGTTTTATCTAAACTTTGTGTTAACCAATTGGTACCCAGATAATTGTTCTCAAACTGTAATTACTATACATATATAATCCTGAATATACTCTCACCACCTCACTCCCGAATAAAGCCTTGATCTTCTGCAGCCTAACACCAACAGAACCCTTTCCTCCAATCCTTTTCAATGCCTTTTTGACAGTTACTTTTTATTAAATAGATAAGAGCAACCAAGTAATCTTTATTACCTCAGAACACTAGGGAATCTTTTCACATCTGCAGAAAAGAGATAGAAAAGCCAACTTCAGAGAGGGTTCTATTTTTTGTGTGGACTTCAGGATAAAGCTGACCTGGGAAAACTGCAGGAGTAGTCTATGAAGAGCAAAAGACTGAGAGAAAGTTTTTGTCTTACCTCTCCTTCTCTCCCAAAAGTCCTTTAACAAGAGCAAGGTAACTTTTTCTTCCAAAACGGTTCTAAAATCCACCCTTTTTGATTTGACCAAAGCCTCATCATCTCCTGTCTCAACTATGGCAATCTCTTCGTCCTGGATGTTTCAATACTAACTTCTGCTGCTCCTGTTCATTCAAATTGCTGCTGCCAAAAGTCTTTCTTGTCTGTTGCTTCAAGATGTTGACTCCTCTGAGCCACTCCACTGCAATTCAAACTTTTCGTACTTGCCTTCAAGGCCTTATCACATAACCCCTCTTTACATCACTGAGTTGGTCTCCTTTTGCTTTTCCTCTGCTCCATAAGTGATTTCAGCCTTGATATCCCCTTTATTTAGTTTCGTGACAGAGCCTTCCTCCTGTCCCTTATTCTTGGAATGCTTTCTCCAGCTTGTCAACCAACATCTCTGACGTAATTGAAATCCCTCATTAAAAACTCATTTTTGCCATCTTTCCTACAGAAGTGAGGTGGAAGAAAGGTAACCAAACTAAACAATAAAGGAAACAGAACTTGTCACCCATTTCCATCCTTGCTTCTCCTTTCCCTTCTTTCCATTATCTGTGTAACCCTTATATTTGTCATATTGTATTTAGGTTGTACACTCTAAGGTAGGGTGACCAGATGTCCCGATTTTATAGGGACAGTCCCAATTTTTGGGTCTTTTTCTTATATAGACTCCTATTACCCCCCACCCCATCCCGATTTTTCACACTTGCTGTCTGGTCACCCTACTCTAGGGACACTGTCTTTTAGGTGCTTTGTAAGGCACCTAGCACATTTCTGGGTGCTTGAAAAATAATAATAGTTATTGGGGTTTGAAAGAAGAAAACATTTGCTTCAAGTGTTTTCTGTTGAAATCTCTGGGGATTTTCCTTTTCCTGTAATCCACTGTGTTGAACTTTTAGAATGAATAACTTGATTTATAAATTTTAACTGTGACAGATCTGCTCCACACCAGATATAATGTGCCCCAGGATAAGAGCATCTCTTTCACCGATTGTACTGCCGAAGATTTATAGGAGTATGAGCGTATATGATACGAGATTAGGTAACCAATAATACATGCAAGGGCATGGAGTTATGGTGTTTTGCATGCTTCATCATTCAGCCAAAGGCTAAGCAAATAAAAAGTGCCTTTAAAAAAAAGTTACCAAGAAAGGGAAAATATTAAAGAATAAACCAGGAAAAAACCACACCTTCTTTTAGCACTTGCCTTCCACACACCATCATTTGGTAGATAAGCTACAGTTAGTAGTAATCACTCAAAGTAAGCTTTCAAGATATATTAATATTAGAAACACAAAAACTATGGTAAAATAACATTAAGGTTCTAAAGTCAAGCACTCGAAAGTTAGGAAATGCTAGAATTGAAGTTGCCTATGTAACCTTAATTTAGCCTGCTTGGGCATTTCTGCATTATGTCTTTAATTACATGATTGCATGCTATGTTTTCCACAAAATGACTGCCTCCATCACTGCACAGAATGGACCTGCTCTGGGGATGAGGGATGACTCAAGTTTATGTATTGAAGGTGTATGTATTGAAGGTGTTTGTAGAACCCCTGCCACATTTGTTGCAGCAGTTAAGTGATTCATGAAGGAGTCATGGGATTGTGGGAAGAGAATGGATAGTCTCACGAATAAAGCAGTTGAATGCTGCCCTGGAGATTTAGATTTTATCCCTATCTTTGCCTCAGAGTTCTTATGTGATGGTAGGCAAGTCACGTAAACCAAACTTTTTTCACAGGTGGTCACTAATTGTGTGTTCCTCATCTTCTGGGTGCCCAAAGTGAGACCCTGGGATATGACTTACAAAAATGCTATATACTTCCAATGGTAGCTGAAGTCAGTGGGAACTTTGCTTTGAATGTATAAAGTGATGTATAATGCTAAGTACTCTGAAAAATCAGGACCTCAGTATCTCAAATTGGGCACCTAAAATTAGTGGGGACTGGTGACCTTAATCTCTCTGTGCCTCAGTTCCTCATTTATAAAATGGGAATAATACCCCCGTCCCTTGCCTTGCAAGGATGCTTTGAAAATTAATGTTTGTGAAGCACTCTGATACTATAGGTATGATCACCATAGAAAACCCAGGAGAAAATTAACAATTCTGTGTTACAGGATTTGAATAGTGTGCAGTAAATAAGGCATTGCACCACACATTAGAAAAAATGAGGTTGAAGCAAAATACTGAATAGCTGTTTATTAAGCGAACACCTTCCATCCTGTGCATTGAATGAAGCAGGGGTCCTGTGGAAAAAATAGTATTTGATCATGTAAATAAAAGCTGTACGATAATGAATATGCACAAGGGAGCAGAATGAAGGTTGCACAGGCAACCTTTTACTATAGTTTTTGTGTGTGTAACTTCCTAGGTTTACAGACGCTCCTGACTTACGCAAGTGTTCCGTTCCTGAACGCCTTGCGTAACTCGAATTTTGCATAAGTCAGAAACGTATACCCGACAATTACGTAAAAAAAAAACAAAAAAACACCCCTCCTATTTCTAGCTTATGGAACCTTTTCCATAAGTGCGGATTTGCGTAAGTAACCGGGGGGCGTCTGTATTAAAAAAGCAAACTCAAAAAACTAGCTTTGAATATGTCACATCATATTGACACCCACATAGTTAATCATCAGGGTTAGAACATTTAGATCCACTGCACAGACATCTACCACTTGAACTAAGGGAGTAACTGGTGGTGGTGGTGATAGTAGTAGTAGTAGTAGATAAGCAGTAGAAGGGGATGAGATGTACTTTGTTAGTGGTCTTCTCAGATACTTACAGACAGCAGAGGAATAGTAAGACTCAAGAAACCTAGGTTCCATTACAGGCTCTGTAGGGGAGTGTTCTATAATGGTCACAGACCCTTCTGCCCATTCCCCTTCCACCCTGTCCCCTCCAACCTGTCCCTGGCTCAGTCATGTCTCTGTCTCTGCGTACTCAGTCTGACTCCACTCCTCCAGCTTCTCGTCCCAGTTCCCTGC